ACAGGTTCCATAGGTACTATCTCGAACCCCTTAAAGTCACAAATCGACAGCGCTCTCTGACCAAAGCTTCTTCCAAGCAGAAGTTAGGCTTCTCTTGTCGATCATCTTAAGGCAGTAAACGTTGTGGAAGTGATTTTTCCAAAACTCTTTGAGTGTGAGGTTGCTCCCTTCAGTCACCTGAAAACAATGCTCGAAGATTGCTTTAGTGTAGAGCTTCTTAAAGTTAGAAATAACTTGCTGGTCCATGGGCTGGAGTAACTTAGTGCTGTTGGGAGGCAGAAACTGGATCTTGATTAATTTAAATTCTTTAGAGAGGTCATCTTGTAGGTCTTTTAATCAGGCTGTTTAGCACGTAGTTCCTTTACAACGAAGTGCATACATTATTTCATTTGGCAGTGACTCCAAAACTGTGCCCCACGTCGCCCCGAGGAGCCGCAACCTCTTCACAGGGGCGCCGCGAAATATTATAAAAGCTTCATTATTTATTTAACCAAGACACGAATAGTTATACTTAGGTTAGGGTGCCCTGGAAATATTTTAATTGAAAAAAAAAAAAAAGGCGTCGCGACCAAGAAAAGTTTGGGAAACACTGTCAAATAGGATGAAACCAGGTGCAATAAGGTCGATCCTCTTGACTTGAGCCTCAGCCTTTCAAAACAACAAAAACAAATTGTTTCGGTTGTCTCTTATAAATTTACATAAATTTGATAATGCTTAGTGTTGTGTTATTGTTTATTGCAATTTAAAAAAAAAAGTTACTCTTATTTCTTAGTTTTTCTTAGAAATAAACCAACATACTTACTTGATCACGAACACAAATTTGCAGACATTAAGTTCATCTTCTTCTTTCTCTTCTCTTATAACTTGTACCTCAGCGTAGCATCGGGGGGAGATGTAACATTCGTTGATGAGCTCTGGCAAGGGCACTGTTAAGACTGATGTTCATTTCTGTAAGGTTGTTCTTAATGCCATCACTCCATATTTTTCGAGGTCTTCCACTCGCTCTATACCCGTTGTAACGTTTTAGTGTGGCTCGCTGTGGCAGATAGTACCAGGGCATTCTTGTTAGGTGTCTAAACCACTTCATTTGTTGTTCTTTATTGACTTGTAAAACTGACTTTATTCCCAGCATTCGTCTGATTTCGTTATTTCGTATTCTGTCTTTCCTTGAATCTCCTGCAGCTCTTCTACGGCATTTAATCTCTGTTGTCACAATTTTACGTTCATTGAATTATGTTAAGTGTCCACGTTTGGCACTGAAAGAAATAGGATTGGTCAAAAAAATAGTTTTGCGACATAAAGTAACATTTAAAAAACAGGGGAGAGAAATAGATATGCCAAACACAACAAGAAGACCACATTTCTATGCTTTGGCGTTCGAGCGGGCATTGGTGTTTGTGATCGTACAAATCTCCGTCCCAGTGGGATGACTTTTTCGTTTCTTTAAAGCCCCACCTGGTTGTTGTCGGGGGCCCTAAAATAACCTAACGGATGAACCTGGTTTCTGAGACCTCTCCAAGGGTGATTCTCGTCCCACAAGAGACACTTTTTGTCATCGGGTGTTAATCGCTGAGTGTGATGTCCTAGTGGGGTAAGTCAGTCGGTCAGTCGTTTTTGTGAATTTGAACTCTTTAAATAAAGGTCTGGCATCATACGTCAGATGCCTCACTGGCGTAAACAGGGTCAATGATTTAAAGTCATTATAATACTATACAAGAAACTCCACAGAGCAGTATACACAGCAGGAGTCTATCGGTCATCAGTAGAAGATCCTCCGTCGACAATTGTTTCGGCCCGTTACCATCTTATTAAACAATCTTGGAAGGTAGGCCAACTTTGGTCCTGAGGCCAGTCCACAGTATCCCCTGCTGCGCTTAAACGGACATTTACGGACGAGACGCTTACACAATGTGCACATTTGTAAGATTAGTGCACTTGTGTGAACATTTAAGCCATACGGGATAAATAATACGAGATAAATGTAAAACTGAAAGTCATCATCATCATCATCATCACTGGCGTGGGCGATCATGCCTCTCCATAATCTGCGATCTCCTGCAGCATGTATCACTTCGTGTGCCGACACACCTCCATGCCATGCAACAAGACTGTCAAGCATCTTCTCTAGTTGTCTACCTCTATCTCTCCTTCCACATATCTTTCCAGTGGTCACAACATGTTCTATTTTCCCTCTTCTCATAACATGGCCGAAAAATGATGACTGTCTCCTTCTGATGTCTGTGATAGGTTGTCTTTGGGCTCCCGCCTCTTTCAAAACCTCTTGGTTGCTCTTTTTGGCTGTCCAGGGTATTCTAAGCATTCTTCTGTAAAACCTCATCTCCGAGGCCTCCAGGAATTGCTTGGCCTGCCTACCTATTGTCAAGGATTCACAGCCATATGTTAAAACTGGATGTATGTAGCAAGCAAGAATTCTTTTTCTAACTCTCAATGACAAGGATATATTGCACAAGATGTTTTTTCATTTTATAAAATGCAGTTT